GGGAAATGGTGGACATGGGCTGAGTTCTAAGGTGGGCCGCCTCTCCCCATTCCTGACAGGAGCTGCGTTCCCTGTGCCCATGTGGCTGAAAGTGCAGGGCCCGGCTGGGTGTTCCAGCAACTCTGTGCCAGGCTCCTGCCCTCCTCCCCCTCACTGAACACCTAAAATCTGGACACACCCTGAGGCCACACGGCTGATAAAGACTTCTCTTTAATGAGTCATTTCCTTCAAAGGGGAGGGAAACATGCATCGAGATTTTAGAGAAATACCTACCCCTCCCTCGCACCCATACTCCCTGATCTCGCTCAGGTCTCTGAACCCCAAGGCCGGGAAGCATCCATGGCTGGAGACCCTCCCGCCCAGCCTCACAAATGCCCTGTGGCACAGGCACCTGAGGTCCCAGGGACCTCAGGAAAGGAGCCGCTCACCAGGCCGTTCACTCAAAAAGTCTGGCCTCCCAGCTCCCATCCAGTGACAGGAGCAGACCTGCCTCCCCAGAAGCTGGCCATCCAGCTGCTTGTCTGCACTCACGGGGTGGCGCCTTCCTTTTTGTCTTGTTCTGCCTGTCCTCCTTCCCACCTGGTTTCTCTTCCCTGCCTTTATCGGCCTTATTCTGTTTCCTATCCAATCATTCACTCACTCCTTTTCACCCTTGCCTTTCTGAGGAAGGCTCTGATCTATGAGTTCCCACGCCTGGTCCTCCTCCTCTTCAGGCAGCCCCTGCCATGAAATCCACTTGCTGGCTGCCCATTGTGCAGCTAAGCCACCCCTTCCCTGGCCAGCTCCAGAGCAAGAACTGAGTCAAGCAAAGGCCTCCGGGATATCTCCTGCCACTAGAAATGAATTCGTATTTGGTTTTCCGAGACAGCTTTACTGAGGTGTAATTACATGTAATAAACTTTAACCATTTTAAGTATACAACGACTTTTGGCAAATGTCTACAGCATGTAATCACCACAAAATCAAGCTCTAGAATATTTGCATCACCTCTAACGTTTTTCCATGTGCCCCTTGGCCATCAGTCCTCTCCCCACCCCTGGTTCTTGACTACCCCGATCTGTTTCCTGTTACAGCAGTTCTGGTTTTTGTTTTTGTTTTGGAATTTCATATAAATGGCATCTTCTCCGGTGGGGCCTTTTGTGTCCTGTATCTCTTACTTAGGATGATGTTAGACTCCCCCCATGGTGTCACAAATATTGCTGAGGAGTATACCATTGAGGTTACACCGCAGCTTACTTGTTGGTTCACCCATTGGTTAGTATTTGGGTTGTTTCTAGTCTGGGGCTAAAATGAATAAAGCTGCTGTAAACATCCATGTACAAGTCCTTGTGTGGACGTATTTTTCATTGTTCTTAGGTAAATACTTGTGAGTATGATTGTTGAGTAGTGTGGAAGGTGTGCGTTAACTCTGTAAGAAATGACCAACTTTGGGGGGAGGGAGATGGGATTAACAGTAGCAAATATCTGTCTGGGAACAGGGAAACACCCCATATCAACAGGGTGCCTGAATGAAACGCAATTGTATACCTAACCCTTAACTGTACCCCACAATTTCATAATAAAAAAATCAATAAATAATTAAAAAAAAAAGAAATGACCAACCTGTTTTCCAACGTGGTGGTACCCATTCCCATCAGGACTGTGTGAGGGGTCTAGGTGCAACCACATTCTCACCAACACTTGGTGTGGGTGGTCTTTTTAGTTTTAGCTATTCTCAGAGGTGTGTAGTGGTATCTCATGGTGGTTTTATTTACATTTCCTGTTGATTATTGATGTTGAGCATCTTTTCTTCTTTGATGGTATCTGTTGCCCATTTTTATGGGGTTGTTTTGCAATCTGTTTTTAATCTCCCTCTTTTCCTTTCTCCTTCAGTTCCTCTGGACCTTTCTCCCATGGTATATCTGTTTCAGTTCTACCCTGTGCAATTCTCAGGATCTTCCACATCTCACCCTCCCCACTTTCTCCTTCTTCCTCCTTCTTCCTCCTCATGATCTCCAGAACACCTGAAAACCGGAGAATCTGACATCCTTTCCCATTCCATATTAGAAATAATCCCATCACACGCCCACAGACTTCTGTCCTGCCCGGATCAGTGTTCCAAACAGAGGCAAAGACGCCCTCCACAGGTGACAGCCCAGAGGAGTCAAAAGGCAGAGCCTGGCATTGTGAAAAGACGCCTTTGCATTCTGGCTCTCCTTTGCCCTAAATGATCAATGGTGTTTATGGACAGAAGTGCCTTTTCCTCACAAACAACATTGGAGAGCCAGTTGTGTTCAGTGAAGTCCTTCCTGTTTAGTGGTCCAGCAGCCTCCACAAACATAAAATTAGTTTTTCACATAACAAGGCTCCCTCTGGGTACGTCTCCCCAGGGAAGGAGCAACCCAGGCCAAAGCCTTTCCATGTCTATTTCAGGGCACCAGTGTGGGTATTTGATAGTAAAGCTCAGAACACACTGTACACAGTGTTAGGGTACCTTAGGTGGGTGATTGTTGAATGGATTCTTTTTTTAATTCTTTATTGAGATTTAATTCAACTACCATACAATTCACCCACTAAAAGTGTACAATCGTTGGGTTTTAGTATATTCACAGATGTGCAGTCACTACCACCACCATTTTAGAACATTTGATTATTTCAAAGAGACACTGCACCCTCTGTCACCCCATAATCTCCTACCCACCTCCTCTCCCCGCCAGGAATTCTAGGATACTCCTGGAAACCACTGATATTCTCTCTATCTCTATAGATTTACCTGTTCTGGACATTTCATGTAAATGGAATCAAACGATATGTGGTCTTTGTGTCTGGCTTCTTTCACTTGATATGGTTTCAAGGTTCACCATGTTCTTTGATGCATCAATACTTCATTGCTTCTTAGGACTGAAAACTGTTTCCATTGTGTGGATACACCATATTTCGTTTATCCATTCTTTAGTTGACAGACATTTGACTATTGTGAATGATGCTGCTGTCAGCATTTATGTATAGGTTTTGGTGTGAACATATGTTTCTACTTCCCTTAGTTATATGCTAGAAGTGAACTTACTGGGTCACAAGGTCATTCTATCATTCTAGGAACTGCCAGGCTATTTTCGAAAGGGGCTGCACTATTTTACATTCCAACCAGCAATGTATGAGAGTTTCAGTTTTTCTACCTCCTCGTCAACACTTCTTATTATCTGACTAAAATGAATTTTTTAATTCTAACTAGGTCCTTGAAATGTCACAAATATACACACAACCACATCTAAACAATCGTTGACACAGACACACACACACAAAACTACATAGCTGTGCATACCTATACACACCTCTAGCGTTCACATGCATACACAGAGAATCTCACACAGATATTTAGTCATGTATGCAGTTGCACATACAATTTAGTCATGTATACAGTTGCACACACAATCACATGCAGCATACACACACATCAATCCACAGACCACATGTGTGAACACAATTTGACATGCAGTGGATCAATGCCATTACATATGTACATACAGTTGCTGTGGGTTCTGAGCAAACACACACATGTGCACACAGAACCTGAGATACATGTGCTTAGTAATGCATTCATGCCCACACAAATACAAACAGTAGTTGTACCCACAAAAGCACAGTCCTGGCACACACCACAGTTGCATCACGTATGAGAACAGAGAATAGGTTTACTCTCGATGGCAGAGAGATGGCTGAGGTTTCATGAGTCTTGGTGCGATAGGAAGGAAGACCTTTTCATTCATTCCTTCATTCACTTGATCTTTAAGCTGTGAGTACATACTGAGCACACAGAGATGCATTGATGAACAGGACTGACGTAGTCCCTGCCCTCTTAGAATTTGCAGTCTAGGAGGTAGATCATCCATAAATAAGGGAACAACCACAATTGGTGCCATGTGCCAAGAAGGAAATAGTCAAAGCCATGTGTTAGACAAATGGCAGCTCCTAGGATGGGAGGCAGCTTCCAGGAGCTTTTATTGTTGTTCCCTCTTTCATCCTGGAAAAGTGAAAGGGATTCAGACTCATCTGCAGTCACTGGACAAGCTGCTGTGTGTGTGTGTGTGTGTGTGTGTGTGTGTGTGTACTAGCAATAGTTAATGAGAGTGTGGGCTTGGAACCTGGAATACTGGTTTTTTGTTTTTTTGGTTTTATTTTTTTGAGTTGGAGTCTCACTCTGTCGCCCAGACTGGAGTGCAGTGGCCGCTTCCGGCCACCGCAGCCTCGACCTGCTGGGCTCCGGCGATCCTTCTCCCTCAGTCTTCCAAGTAGCCGGAATTACAGGCACACGCTACCACGCCCGGCTGATTTTTTGATTTATTGTAGAGATGAGGTCTCGCTGCCCAGGCGGGTCTCGAACCCGCGGGCTCAGGCAATCCACTCACCTCAGCCTCCCAAAGGCGCGGGATTACAGGCTGAGCCACCGAGCCCGGCTGGAATACTGGCTTTTAATTTTCTTTGTTTTGCGCTGCTTGGGTGACCTTTCTTTCCTCTGTGTCTCAGTTTCTCATCCAAAAATGGGAATTATAGTAGTGCCTTGAATAAGGATTAACTTAACTGATACTCATAAAGCACTGAAAACTGCCTGGCAAGTGTTGAGTTCTGAATCAATATCAGCTGTCGTGTCACTTTCCGAGACAGGTCTTTGTAGAGGGAGGTGAGTACCCGGAGACAGGTGGGGCGGGCGAGGGATGGGCGGAGGAGCAGGCAGGGCCCCAGGACTGTGCATGGGCCAGCGCTTCATCCTCCGCAGTGTGTGAGCGGCTTTCTGGAATGCGGCCCTGGCCTGCCGCCCCGGCAGGCCGTAAACCAGTTTGACCTCCCGCTGCCAGGCCCACAAGCCGCAAGCCACAGAGAGGACGCGCAGTGTAGGCTCTAGGCATGGCTCTGCGTTCAGCTGTGTCAGGCCTTTGCGGAGAACTCGGTCTGCTGCGGTGGTGCCTAGCTGTGACAATCCCTGAGTCCACTTGGCTGACTTTTCTGCCTGTGTGTCTGTGCAGGTCAGCGCTCTCCACCCTGTACCTGCCTCCCCAGGACATTCCACGGCCATGGTCAGTGTGTCCGGCTCCCAGCAACACCTCCCAGCAAACATGTGAGTACAGGGCTCAGTCCCGCACAGGGGGCAGCTCCCCACCACAGGGGATAAAGCCTCACCACTCAGAAACCATCCCATCCCAAGAGACAGCGTGTGCCTCCCTGACCACCTCCACAAGCAATAAAGGCAAAAAACACAAATCAGCTAGCCATGTCATCCTAGCTCATTACTTTACAGAAGCAGAAAGAAACTGGAAGATTCTATGCCACAGTATCACTGGGAGAATGGGTACTGTGCAATTCTTTTTTTTTTTTTGAGATGGAGTCTCACTCTGTCGCCCAGACTGGAGTGCAGTGGCCGCTCCCGGCCACCGCAGCCTCGACCTGCTGGGCTCCGGCGATCCTTCTGCCTCAGCCTTCTGAGGAGCCGGAATTACAGGCATGCGCTACCACGCCCGGCTGATTTTTTGATTTATTGTAGAGATGAGGTCTCTCTGCCCAGGCGGGTCTCAAACCCATGGGCTCAGGCAATTCACTCACCTCAACCTCCCAAAGGCGCGGGATTACAGGCTGAGCCACTGAGCCTGGCTTGTGCAATTGTTATTATCTTGCTTTAGATTCAAAATGTTGAGTCATAGATAGATGTTGTTTTGGTAATCAGCACAAAGAATAAATATAGCATTTTAGGAACAAATAATCCTTGTAAGATGAGAATAATTCCCTGTCCCCTTAATAAAACATTCCCATATCTAACAGTCCTTAGACTCTAGCAGGGCTTCCTGGTGTCTAAGATGCCTGAGGGCCACATACTGGTGACCCCGACTCTAGCAAGCCAAAGTGGATTATTTTGTTAATTCTTTAATCAGGCAACTGTCCTTCCCTCTGCAGCTCCCTATTGGCTTCATCCCCTCATCATACCTGGCATTTTTTTGTTTTTGTTTTTTTTTGAGCCAGAGTCTCACTCTGTTGCCCAGGCTGGAGTGTCATGGCATGCTCATGGCCACCACAGCCTCGACCTGCTGGGCTCAGGTGATCCTTCCACCTCAGCCTTCCAAGTAGCTGGGACTACAGGCATGTGCCACTAAACCCGGCTAATTTTTTTTTATTGTAGAGATGAGGTCTCACCAAGTTGCTCAGGCTGGTCTCAAACCCCTGGACTCAGGCAACCCTCTCGCCTCCATCTCCCAAAGTGCTAGGATTACAGGCATGAGCCATCGCGCCCAACCCATACCTGGATTTTACCTGCCTGCTTCCTGTGTGGATTTCAACGAGCAATGTCTCTGCTCCAAGCCAAGGACATGTCTGCCATGTCACAGGCCCATTCCCTCATCCACCATGCAGCTGGTATTCCACTGTGTGCCAAAAAACAAAAATTGGCCAAGTGCAGTGGCTCATACCTATAATCCCAGCACTTTGGGAGGCCGAGGTGGGAGGATTGCTGGAGCCCAGGAGTTTGAGATCAGCCTGGGCAACATAGCGAGACCTCATCTTTTACAAAAAATAAAAAAGTTAGCCAGGTGTGGCAGTGCACGCCTGTAGTCCCTGCTATTCAGGAGGCTGAGGTGGAAGGATCACCTGAACCCCAGAGACTGAGGCTGTCATGAGCTGTGAACACCATTATCATGCTACTGCACTCCAGCCTGGGCAACTGAGTGAGACTCCAACTCAAAAATAAATAAATAAATCACCCCTACCCCCCACTACCCAAGGTCCATCTCTCTGCCTACATTAAGGTGCCTTCTCTGGCCATTCTAGGGAGTCAAGCATGCCCCTGCTTTTGGGAGAGGGAGTGGGTCAGAGGGGCTTCTGTGCTGAACTCTTACTTCCTGGACACAGCACACTTCCATTTGTCTTGGGTGCTGCACCACACAGTAGTGAGAAAGCTCCCTACGTGAGCCAGAACGTCTAGGTTGAGATCCATCTCTGCCACTGACTCCTGGTGACCAACACCTTTCCCTGATCGAGGCCAGTTTCTCCCTTACTGACGCGCCCATACAGGCGTCACCTCGTGATCTGCAGCTGTGTGGCACCGTGTGAGGAAGGCAGGGTCCCGGACCCTCTGCTGCTATGTCACCAGGTTGCTCCACCTTGATCTGCCCCGCACGTGGAGGTTTCAACGTGCAGGAGGTTTCCTTGCCAACCACCGCTGGCAGCATCCACTGCAGCCCCACCTACAGGCACCTTCCTCCCTCACTGCTCCCGTGTCTCCCAGGTTTGTGGCCCTACACTCCTACGCAGCACACAGACCAGAGGAGCTGGACCTGCAGAAGGGAGAAGGCATCCGGGTGCTGGGGAAGGGCCAGGGCGGCTGGCTCCGAGGCGTCTCCTTGGTTACCGGGCGTGTTGGCATCTTCCCAAACAGCTACGTGATCCCCGTCTTCAGGTTCGTCGTCCCCAGTCCCAGGCTGGGGAGGGCAGGTGGCCGTGGTGCACTTTCAGAGGATCAGCCGAGAAACAGCTTTTACCCTAGTGCCCGCCTACGTCTTTTCAAACAAAATAGCAGACATCGATACCTTTTTTATGGCTTTTCACAGTTTACAAGCACTTTCATGTCTTCCAGCTAGTTGGCTGTGCCCTAGAGTCTTATAAGACAGACACTATTTTACAGATGAGGAAACTGATGTGACTTAAGCAACTTGCTCCAGAACGAGAGGTCAGGTTTTCTTCTTCACAGACCCCAGAGTTCCCATTTCCCAGCCTCTCTCCCAATACTCCACCTAGTGGCATCCTGGGAAAGTGTGGCCAGATGACCTTCCCAGAACACCCTGGGGATCCACCGGCAGCTAGAACCCTGGGAGTTTTCATGAGCTCTGACCACCGGCTGTTTATCCATGCCCAGATCGCACACTGGCTACCCTGCGGGCCTCTTCCCTATCAGCCTTTCCCAACTCTTTTCATTCTGTGACAGACCTCCTAATTTCATCAACCCATCTTTGTCCTGCCCTGCCACCTTACACCACTGCCACAAATACACACACACCCTAAATCTACCTGAGACTCCTCCTGCCTGCACCCCATCAGCCCAGGCAAACCTGTCTCAGCGCACTGAGGCCATCACCACACATCACGCACTGTCTTTATGACATACCCGAGGGTCACAATTCCAAGGACAGTGACAGTCCCACTGTACTCTGTGGGGGTCAGACCTAGTCACATGCCCACTTTGGGGACTCTCATAGGCGGGACGCTGTGTCCAGAGGAGGGCAGCAAGAATGGTGAGGAGATAGCAAATGACATCCCAGGAGAGACCGATGTCAAAACTGGGGTTGTCTAACCTGTAGAGGTCCAGGAGCAGAAGGGTCATAAAAGACTGGAGACCAGGAAGTAGGCTTGTTCCGTGAGTGGCAATGATGTGGACCAGTGGCTAAGACTTAGAGAGAATGTCTTGATTCAATAACAGACAGCAATTTCTAGCTCATAGATTTTTTCAAGCCAGTGGGTGAGGTGGTAGACTCCCTTTCTGGAAAGAATACAGGTAAAGTGCATCCCTACAGAGCCAGGGTCATGCAGAAGGATTTCTTTTCAGGGCTGAAAGTTGGGGGAGAAGATCATGGTATTCCTTTCAATAGAAGATTGCTGAGATTTGTTTTAAAGTTGCAAAATATCCAAAGGCAAACTGAGGGTGTCTGTAACTGATGTTTGAATTCATTCCTTCAGCAAATATTGATCGAGGGCTAACTATGTATCAGGCACATGTCCAGGCACTGGAGAAATGCCAGTAAACAAAATACACACTGTTCTTGCTTACAGGAATTACACACCACACTCTAGATAAAAAAACAAGCTACATAACCAATATATACCGAAGGGTGAATGATACAGGCTAAGAAGTAAAGTCAGGAGAGGGGGGCTAGAACCTGGGTGGGGTGGGTGCAATTTTAGACAGGTTGGTCAGGGGTGGCCTTACTGAGAGGGGAGAAGGAAGAATGAGGGAAACAAGGAGGGAGCCGTGTGGCTCTCGGAGGCAAGGGCGTTCTAGGCCAAAGGAGAAGCAAATACAGGGGCCCTGGGGTGGCAGTGTACCTGGCACAGAGGCCGGTAGGACTGGATTTGAGCGTGGGGGGGGGCAGCGGGAGACAAGGTTGGAGTGGATGGGGGAACCATATGATATAGAATGGCCTAGGTCACAGAGAGGGAGCTGGCTTTAACCCTGCCGCAGGTTTCCAGCACAAGAGTGACACGACTTAACTTACGTATAACCAGACTCCTTAGAGTTGCTGGGCTGAGAATAAACTCTGGAGAGGAAAAGGCAGAAGTAGAAAGACTAGCTGAGAGGATATTTTGGTGCTACTGTGAGGGGTGAGGGGGGTGGGGAGGTGACAGTAAGCTGAGCCCGGCTGTGAAGGCAGGGGGAAGTGGTTCGATTCTGGATAGACCTTGTAGTTAGAGACAAAACTTTCCCACAGATCCAACATCGGGTGTGAAAGGGCATTGGCTTCCTGGTGAGTCCTGGTTTTTTGCCTAAGTAGCTGGAGATGGAATGCCTTTCATGAGACCATGATGATGAACACCAGACGAGGGCGGTTTCTGAGGGCAGGGAAGCAAAAGCCTGTTGGCAGCAGATTAAGTCTGAGGACCTTGTTAACAGTCCAAGCAAAGATGTCGGCAAGCAGTCGAGGATACACGCTCAGCATCTAGCAGGGAGCCTTGGGCTTGAGATGCGGTTTAAAGCCCGAGACTTGATGAGATCACCACGATAGGATTCATCGTATCCAGAGAGTGACAGAGAGCCAGGAGCTCAGGTCTCCAAGGTGGGAGGGAAACCTGAAGGGTGAATGAGGACTGCTACATGGCGGGTGAGGGCAGAGTCTGAGAAGGACTGAGAGGGTGGGGTGTAGTCTAGAAGTGACAGGGAGGAGCCTCTTGAATTCCATGAGCAGTTTCTCCCATGGGCTCCAACATGAATCCCCATGCCTACTGCTAGGGCTTTTGCTTATCCACTAGGCCTTAGCCCAAAGTCCTGGTTATGCTGTCAAAGAACCATTAGCTAAGCGTGGTCATATATTTTATCATCCAAACGAGAACACTTTTGAGCAGGGATCCCCCGAGACCCTCCTGGGAAAACCAAGCCATGTGGCCACCATAACTAGACTACATACAGGATTCCATCCCAGTATGTATCAAGGCTCTAGCTTCTGTCTCGCTCCTTGTTGGCTGTTCTCCTGGGGAGGTCTGTTGTGTTCTGGGCCAAGTCGTGGGCATCCGTGCTCATCTGCTCTGAGGCAGCCGTGTGTCTCACAGTGGATGACGTCACAATGCCACACGTTTAGTCCATGCCTCCTCCCAGCTCGTTGACATCTGAACACAGGCATGTGTTGGAAGACTGCTAATGTTGAGGCATAGTTTTGCCTTTGGGGAACCAGGATTCCCAAGAACAAGTCTCTGTTGGAAGATGCACTCCTGAGCGTCCTTAGGTGACAGAGGAGCGATGCTTTCACAATGTGGTATGTCTTCCTTGATGGTCTCTCAGATGCAAAGAAAGTTCCCATCCTCACTAATCTTGACCATGAATGACATTTGCCCAACTTGCCTATCTGGGTGTAGGTAACCTTTGGTCTTAACCACACCTTCCACTTGGGAAGTCTGAGTTTTCCCTCTTCTCAGGGCTGAGTGATCCTGTCCTTAGTCAGTTGAGTTTCTACTCTTAGCAAATTCTGTATGAAGACCAAGTGGGCTGGACTACACATGTAAGCCCCTTTCCACTCTTCGGCTCTGCATGTTGAATGTTTCTCTTTGTTTTCACTTGCAATGGCGGCTTTGCACTGCCACCCAGCCCTGTGCTATGAGGTGTAGCCTTTTATGACAAATCCAGGGCTCAAAGGTGAGCATTTGAACCTTTCCTCTTATTGGCATTAGCCCCTAATGCACTGAGCCAGCCAGAGTTTGGGGATTCACTATACATAAGAATTAACCAGAAATGCCAAGGTTTAGATGTACGATTCAGCCAGTAAGCCTTTCAACTACCAGGAGAGGAAAAGGCTGCTGTGCTATCCTGTACCCTCACCCTCTGTGCTAGGTGGTGACACCAACCTGTCCAGCTGCCATTGACCATAGCTAAATCTCTGCTACCTCAATGCCTCTCCCCAGGTCCGGGAGATGTTCATTGGCTCTGGTTATAAAGAACATTGGTCAAGTTTTCATCTGTCCAGCATCTAAGTTTGTTTCTGATAGCACCGATGTTCCTCTGGGTCTCCTCTTTCATGTGTAGTGTTGGCAGGAGGCAGACTATACCTTTCTTTTCAGAAGCTGAAGAAGCCAAATCCTCTTCCTCTTTCTCGACTCACCACTATAGCCAAGGGTCAGGCTTAGCCAATCTGACACTCCCTCCTGGGACTTGGAAACCTTGACAAGGGAGGGAAAGACGTGGGCAAAGTCGAAGACCATTCTTGGTGTGCGCTCCAGCGACAGCTGGTGACCCAACTCTTCCTGCTGCAGATTTCGGCTGCGGAGCTCTCCTGTCTCCAAGTCCTTTCTTCCCCCTCCTGCCCTTCCAATATACTTCCTTCTGCCCAATTAGCTAGGATCTCCCTCTTTCTTGCAACAGCCACAAGCACATATGCCAGCCTGGTGCCCTATGGGTGGAGAAAAGCCCCACATGGGCCACCACTCGTTTGCCTTTAACACTCTGCACACAGCTACGCAAAGATTGTCAAGCTCTACCTGTTCCCCTCTCCAGGAACCGCTGCCGGCAGCCAGCAAGGTAGGGCTGCTGCCTGTGATGCCTCTGTGGGTACCAGGCAAGATCTTCCAGGTTGACACCCCAGGCAGAGAAAAGGACATGGGCGGATAAGAGGCAGTGTTGGTTCATTTATTTCACGCAGAATAAAAGGCTTTCCTGCTACCAAACGACAAATGCTCCAACCAGCCAGGAGGGGGTGTAGCTCAGTAGTAAGAACAGAGGGCCAGCATAGACCTAGGTTCAAATCCCAGGCCAGGAGTTGCTTGGGCAATTAACTGAAAGTCCTTGTATTATTGTATTTATAAAGGAAATGGTAGCATCCTCCCACGTAAACCCAGAATGTCTTTCCGTCTCCCCATCTAGAAAGCAAGGATCGTAATATCTGCAGGCCTGGGGCTGTCGTGGGGATTAACAAATATATAGTTAGCAAAGCATGTTGATGTGGAAGAAAGTGCTGGGTAAATGCTGAGCTTTTTTTCTAAAAGACATAGAGGGACTTGGTGTTGGGTGGGCACTTGGGTTTAGGAGTTCCTGGAATTCAGCTCAGTGCTGGACTCAGAAAATAGGAAGTCACACTCAGTCTGTCAACAATTCTTCAAAGAAGGGCTGAGGGAGTAAGGTTGGCTCGGGCCTAACAAGCTGTGTCCTGTCCTTGCTGCTGCTACTGCTGGGAACTATTTTGGTGCGATCTTTCCTGTCGCCTATCCATTTTGCAGCATCCAGCCCCTTGAGGCTCTGCTCAGATGCCAGGCCGGTCGGCTGCACACTGCCCGGAAGCCAGTGTGGGGGATTTCTCCCCACCTCCCAGGCCTCATCTCCAGAATAGTCTCACCTCTCCCCGGGGACAGCCCCGCTCCTCCTCACTGACTGAACTGCCACGGGACCAGGCAGGCTGCTAGCTGTGGAGAAAAGTCTCCCTCTGCAAGCATCAGCTCCCCGGGCACTCGGGCAGCACTGGCCATAATGAAATGATGCCTCTTCTATCTCTGTACAAGACAATAATGCTTGTTGTGAAACTACGCATCGCTTTTTTAATCAAAAGGAGAGAAAAAGAGAAAGAGGAGAAATGAGAAGAAAGACCTGAAGGAAGACCTGGAGGCATTGTTAGGCAGGAAACCACGAGGGCACCTCGGAGCAGGGCCTGGGTTCAGTCCGTTATTCCCAGGGAATTAGTAGAGGCTACTTAATCAGCAGAGTGACGCGGCGATTGATGGACTGCTTGGTAGGAGATGAGATGTCGGTATTGGATTGATAAAGGGCAAGAAAAGCATGTGAAATGACAGTCACTCCCCCATGGAGTTTAGGGAGCTGTGGGCTGGAAACAATGGACGGGGGATTGTTGTTTCCTAAGACTTTAATACTGTTCTTGAAAATCACAGCCCAAGGCTGAAGAATGAGGGTCTTAGGAAGGCCCATGTAGGGCCTACTGGCTCTGACTGCATTAGTTCATTTGTTTCAGCCCGGATAAAGGGCTTTTTCTGTTACCAAATGACAAATGCTCTAACTGGCCAGGAGGTATAGCTCAGTGGTAAGACCAGAGGGCCAGCCTAGACCTGAGTTCAATCCCAGGCCAGTAGTTGCTTGGGCAAGTAACTTTAAGTCTTTATTTATAAATACTAGCACTAAGAATATCTGCCTCCTGAAGGCTGTTGCAAAGAACCCATGAGCTGTGGCAAAACACTTAGCCAATGCTGGCATACAGCAAACACTCCACATACGTTAGCCCAGATGACTGGTACATAGTAAGCACTCCATTTGTATACCAGATAACTGGCATACGGTAAGCATTCTGCATACATTGGCCCAGATGACCAGTATACAGCAAGCACTCCAAATGCATTAACCCAGATGGCTGGCATACAGCAAGCACTCCACATGCGTTAGCCCAGATGACTGGCATTGGTGTCAATAACCTCCTGTAGCCATTCAACAAACATTTACTGAGTGACAGTACATGCAGAACAGTGGGACACAAAGTAAGTCATAAAAATCTCTGCCTTCAAAGAGTGTAGAATCTGGTGGGAAGGTGACCGACTGAACAGGAAATTGCCACAGCAAAGCAAAATGAACACATACAGGATCTTGTGCTCAGAACTCAAGGGCTGAAGGGACGTGGGGTGAGGTGTGATCAGACTGGAGTGAAAGATACGAAGTTCTGGCCTTCTTGTTCCACCAGGGCCTCACATGAGTCCCTGCCTGCCCACACACCCTCACAGTTTCCAAGGTACGGGGAGGTGGGGCCCACGCGGTGGAGCGTGGGTTGACAATTGTGTACGGGTGGGATGACGTGAGAAGTAGCCACGTTTGGTATATGGTTAGGAGCTGATAGGTTTTTAAGTAGGATCTTGACTGAACATTTTCTCTCTCCCTTTCTTCTCTTGAAAAAAAAAAACAACAATGTCCAACAACCAGAAAGACCTCTAGTTTTCCAGATTCCCGGAGCCCTGGTCTCTACGCCACATGGACATTGTCCACCTCCTCTGTGTCCTCCCAAGGCAGCCTTTCAGAAGGTGACCCCCGGCAGAGCCAGCCCTTCAAGTCCGTCTTCGTGCCCACCGCCATAGTCAACTCTGTGAGGAGCACAGGTGGCCTGGGGACCTCAGGACAAGGGTCTCTCCGGAAAGGGCACAGCAGCATGAGAAAGAGTAAGTGGTGGCAGAGAGGTACGAGCCTGGAGCTGAGTGATGGGGTCTGATCCCAGGGTCACAAGATGCTTCTCGCAAAAACAGGATCTTGGCTTTAAGCTGAGCCTCTGCAAAGGGTGCTTGTAATCCCCAAATGATGAGTTGATTTACTGAGCGAAGCCAGACCAATCAGGGTCACTGCCCCGGGTCTCTTCACACGTACATGAATAATGGGTGATAGCAGTCCTGAGTGCCAACACGTAACTAGAACATGGCCAGAGTGGACTCTGGCTCTTATTAAGACAGAGTGACCAAAGCACTTGCTGGGTCAGTGCTTCTCAAACTGTTTTCCAGGGTACCCCTCTGGGGGTGGGTGACTGCCACAAGAGAAACAGGGAAAGTTGGGGTGAGTGGGCAGGGAGTTGGGTAGGAAACGAAGATTAGGGAGGCAGTGCTCAAAACCCCTGATTTCTGCTGCATTATGTAAGTAATGACTGCACACATTTTTTTTTTTAATTCCAAAGTATACAAAATCAAGTCTCCCTCGTATCCCAAACCACCAGTCCTAAGTTCTCTTCCATAGACAGACAGAAAGACAGACAGACACACACACACACACATACACCTGTTAGTTACACTCACTGCACGGTTCTGCACTTTGCTTTTTGTTTACTGACATAATGTCCACATGTTACACTTGACAATATGTACAGATCCGTCATCTTAAGAACCATGCTTTCTGTCTTCACCTATTGAAATTCTACAGAGGATTTCATTTTCAGGGGTTCTAAAAAGTGTTTGAAACCCTTTGTCCTACAAAACATCAACACTTCATATTCTTACACCTCTATAGAAGAAGACAACAAGCCAAGCACGGTGTGTATGATGTATTCTGGGCTCCTTTGTTCCAGCAAGGCCCTGCACTCCCTCCTGTGACCTTAAGGAATGATCCAGCACGAAAATGCAGTATGACCAGTCAAGGCAGAAGAGTAATGTGTGGGACAACATGCCACACAAAAACCCCCCCAGAAAAGAAGTGAATTCCAGGAGCTTCCTGTCCCAGGGCTTTCATTTGACAGCCCATTGACCTCAGCCCCACAGCTGCGGCCACTTCATCTCCACAAGCCACGGCGCCACCTCCACCTCTCCATCTCTCCTTAATACACCCACTAAATCAGTGATCCCACCATGACAGCCTTGGCAAGTTACAGCCTCTTCGGTCTCCCGTGCTCTCTCCAGTAAAGTGGAAATAGAAACAATACCTCCCTCATCAGGGTCACTGCACGGATTTAATAAAACTCTCCATCCCAGGCTGGTGCCACAGTGCCTGGAACAAAATCATCTCTCTTATAACATTAGCTTTTAGAGTACTATTTTATGGATGTTATCGCTGCTACTGCAACCAAGAAGGCTATCTCTGGACTATCCAGAGTGCGAACTCACGTAGGCCTGCAATGCTCACCCCTGGTCTCGACCACTCAGGAAATGCAGAGAATGGTAGCCAACAGCAACTGTTCACACCTCCTTCAGCGCACGCCCTGCCTTGTGCACATCTTGATTGGCGTGGAGGGTGCCTGCTTGCACTGGGTGCAAATGCAATAAGAAAGCATTCAATCTCTTGGAAGCTAGGAACCGACAAGGTAAATAGAGAAGGCATGAAACCAATTTTTCACTCACGAGAGCCTGAGGACATGTCTGCCCGGTGCCACCGTGACTCCCAGGTCCCCGAGGCCTTCTCTGCCTCTCTTTTCCCAAGGCGAGGCTGGCAAGCTATCAGCTTCCCCAAAGCAAAGAGAAGTGACAGGAGAGTTGACCATGTGTACCTCACTGGGCTGTCAGTGGGAAAATGAATGTCTAAATGGAAAGGTCAGACTTGTATAGATGGGAGCTGACATGCAGAGGCTCAGGACTCCGCCTGTGTCTGGTGCACAGTCTGCTCTTAGCGTACACGTGGGACTGACAGAGAGTCACAACACAGGCATGGCCTCGGCCTCTATGCTGGACACAAATGACTTTTACTCGAACAAGTCCATGGGATGTCATGAAGGACAAACGGCTCTGGCAGGGACAGCACCTGTGGCTCTCTAAATGCTGGGAGACCCTTCTAGAAAAGTGACCCACAGTGTTTCTCAGGGTGTCTCCCCACAGAATGCAGCGAGTTCCCAATTCCCTAGGTAACCTGCAGGATGTGTGCCCAAGGGATGGGGATCTCCTGTGTTCCAGAGAGTTTGAGAGGAAGAAATGGCTTCCTTTTACTGAGGGAGGACCCTCTCAATTTAAAAAAAAGGAAGAAGAATGAACTTGGAAGGGTCAAAACCAAGCTCTTGGGCCTGGCATTTTTAGGGCGTGCCAAAATAAGAATGACGATTCTGGGTACTATGATGTCCAATACCATCCTGACACTTGGCACACCTCCCGAGATACTATCTGCACAGCAGTCCCGTCACCATCTCCAGTTTGCACACGAGGGGGCTGAGGTGCAAGGGAGCGACCTTGACTCACTTATCCTGGGCTCCCAGGAGGAGGTCTGATTCCAGACCCCATGTGATGAGACTTGACAAAGCCTCCCCCTCCACCCCCCTCACAGCCCCGGCTGAGGATAAGCTTCCTGAACTTGCCTGTGTCTGCCACGCTGGGCTAGGGCCCACGCCGTCCCTTCCGCTCATCCTTCTTCCTGCAGCCCTGGCAAAAAGCAACTCCCCCACCACATGCCTAAGGCTTCCGCTGGAAGTTTCTTCAGCAAGGAGCTGGTCACAGTTCTCTCCCCCATCTCTTTGTCTCTTCCCTCTCATCCTTCTCATTGTCTCTCCTTGCGTGTCTCCGCATCTGCTGTCTCTGTCTCCTGCCTCTGTCTCTGTCTTTTGTCTCCTGTTTGGTCTGCCTGCCTCTGTGTCTGTGTCACATTTTGTGCATGTGTGGGGTGGAGGGTGGCAAATGGAAGTGATATACCTTCTGATAGTCCCCTAAACACACACATACAAACACACACACACACACACACACACACACACACACACACACACGTCATTCAACTAGAGAGCAACGTGCTGCCAGCATCAGCAAACAGCACTAAAAAAAGAATAAGGTCACCTTTGAACGACCCCAGAGAATGTGAGCACAGTCAGATGAGGAAAGCACTTACCTATTCTGGGATATCAGGACACTGCCTCCCAGCCCCACCCAGCCTGCTGTCAGCGCCTGTCACTGACATCCCTGTCATTTATTCCCCAGATGGATCTCTGCAGAGACCCGTCCATTCAGGGATCCCCACCCTCGTGGTGGGCTCCCTCCAGCGCAGCCCCGCCATGGTGGTCCGGCCTCAGCAGTTTCAGTTCTACCAGCCACAGGGGGTCCCCTCCTCCCCCTTGGCGGTGGCAGTGGAGCTGGGACCCAAGCCCGCCCCCACGGGGGAGCCCGCCCTCACGTACTCCAGCAGAGGCAGCAGGGCCCGGGCATACTCTGCAGCCAGCTCCCTCATCATGGAGGGTGAGGACGTCCCCGCCAAGAGTGAGCCTCCGCCCAGACCACCTGCATCTGCCCCACCATCGATACTGGTGAAACCCGAAAACTCAAGAAACGGCATCGAAAAGGTAGGAGTGGAGTGACATGGCGGGGTCTGGCTCTTCAGGCTCCCAACTCTGCACGGTGTCTTAGCGCTGGGGATTTTAGTGCTGGAGGACAAGGAACCAAAACCACAGCCACAAAAGAATCTTCACACATCACACCCCCCCCACATCCTCACACCCCAGACGTGTTGCTGATTCTCCTTTACACTTCCCGAAAATTTATACAGCCTTCGAGGCCCAAAAGTGGTTTGGAAAACACATGGCGTTGGTACCAGATGGAATCTTAATTTGAATTCCAGCTCTGCTGCTTGCTAGCAGGATGACTTTGGCCAAAACATTTCACCCTTCTGGGACTCTTCTTTTGCCTAATCTGTAAAAGGGGGGTAAGAATCATAATGGCCACATAGGACTGCAGTGGAGAGAGAGAGAGAGAAGATATGTGAAGCACTTACTAGGGCTTTACATACAATTATTCATTGTATAAAAGAGGCAACCGAGACACAGGAAGAGCTAAGTGACATCAAGGCCACCCTGAATGATCATGACACCAACAACTAACTTACTGTGACATTTGTGTGGAGGTTAGATCTGTTAACTTCTAGTTGAGGACTTTTTCCACTAGAAGATATAAGAATTTTTCTAAAAGGCTTATGTTCTCGGCAATAGCCTTAAATCAGGAGGGGTGGTGGGAGGGGTAGGTGACATTCAGAAGATTAGGTAATGCTCTTTGTCATCTTTTGGTTTGTTGAACATCCCCACCACCATCTTTACCACCACCGCTGTCCCCATTGTCACCACTACTGCCACCACCCCCGCCATCCCCACCACCATCACCACCACCACCACTGTCACCACCATCTCTACTACCATCACCACCACCACCACTCCTTCCCCCCAAACAGAAAGAGGATGTGGTTTCCCTGTTTGTTAGGCATTTACTGCGTACTAATGACCTGGCAGGTATTGTGCTGAGTACTTCACGTGGCCCATCTCATTTAAGCCTGACGACAGCCTTCTTAGTAGATCTTAGTTTCCTCCTCACTTTAGAATGAGGAAATGGCCGCTGAAGGAATTAAGAGAACATTGCCCAAGGCCACACAGCCAGCGCCTGAGTCTGGAGTGGAATCCAGATCTGATATAAAAACGCATGCTCTTGATACTAAGCTATAAGCTTGTAAGGAAAGTCATTAGGAAAAAATTTATGTTGACTGATATAAGTGCTGGAGCTTCTTATTCTATATTACAGAAGCCATTCAAAGCTTTCCAGGCCCAGCTGCTCATTATGCCAAGCTATTCGATACAGTCCGCAAGCTATAACCGTTTTGAAAGTGCCCAGACCTTGGCTAGGTGTAGTGAGGGTCAGCAAGTATGGGGGAATTTGGATTCTTAGTGGGGGACACTAGGATCCAGTTGCATGGAAAAAAGAAGTTGCTCCTAAGTAGTACCACACTGGATTAAGCCCTAAGATATAGGGACTGGCCAAAGCAAGTATGGTACCTATCGTTACCTGGCAGATATACAATTGGCAGGCAGAGTGGAAGAAAAGGGGAGGAGGGTGGAGCTTGGTGCCAAGTGGAGACTGTTCCTCTCACAGAAGGCAGCTGCCTCCCAGCTCCAGCTCTACCTGCTGCCAGAATTGGGCATGGGCCCGCTGTGCCAGATCTTCCATCTTTTACAGAGACGTGAAATTCTGATTTGTATATGCAATCTCCCAATGTTTATGTGTTGGCAAGCCAGTAGAACCCTCAAGCATTCTGCAGGCTCAATTCAGCCAACAGGTAACCAATTTGCAAATCCTGCTCTCAGGCTTTACATGGCCATTATGGAAAGCTCTAAATGAAGTCATCAGGAGAGGCCTCAAGGAAGAGGGAGGCCTTGAGCTAGGCCTTGATAGTAGGCCTTGGTAGGCAGAGGAAAGAGAAAAGGTAAATTCATTTTCTGTAAGGCATCATATCCTCTTGCCCCAGGCCTTTTTCACAGGTAGTGGCCTATCCTGGTTCTCCCTAATCCTTCTCCAGCTCTCGATTTAGATAACTCTGCCTCTAGAAGACTTCCCTGCTGCCCTCCCAGCTGCAGTTAGACACACTGTGCTCTCAGCCTCTGCCACTTCGCCAGTATAGCACATGTCATAATGGTCCATTTGTCAGGACAGTTTTGGATTCACAGCACCTAACAGAGCGTGTGATGTGTAGTCAGCGCTCGTAGCAGACACAGACATTTGCAGAGTGAACACATAAGTGAGGCATTTCCGGTGGGACAAGTGTAGGAAAACAACGTGACCCAAGTCTCAGGGGAAAGCATCTTGTGTCTCCCGCCTCACTCGTTCCCTTTGCTCTGCTCTCTCCTGCAGCAGGTAAAGACCGTGAGATTTCAGAATTACAGCCCTCCTCCCAGCAAACATTACACCTCCCACCCCGCCTCCGGAAAACCTGAACAGCCAGCCGCCCTCAAGGGGTCCCAGCCTGAAGCAGCCCCCTTGGGCCCAGAGATGACCATCTTATTCGCCCACCGAAGCGGCTGCCACTCCGGGCAGCAGACAGACCTCCGGAGAAAGTCCACTCTTGGCAAGGCCACGACCCCAGCGTCCACTGCCTCAGCCACGCAGACAGTGTTTCCCAGCAAATGAATCTACAGGTGGCTTTTCCTAAACCCCAAAGAGGTGAATTGCACTCAAATACAGTCTGCCTCCACTGAGGGCATCCTGCCGTTCTTTGGGGACTTGAGCATGGGTCCTTGTTCTTCCCATTTTGCCTCGGAGAAAGGAAGGGTGGGAGCAATCATTCCCGCCCTGGGGGAGGATAGGTTGGGTGGCCTGCCAAATGTAAGGATTAGAGGCAGCGGGTCCCACAACTCAGACCAGGGACTGAGAGACAGTCACTCCCACTTTGTTCCCCAGCATGGAGTAGTATATGGTCGCACGTTTCCCGTGTTCTGTGCGGAATTTCTGTGGTGTTCTAAAGGGGGCTCCAGCAGGGGTATGACAATGGTAGCACTGTTGGCATTGCTTCTTTGACCATACCATATTGTCAACAAGCGTTAGAACAGCTTCTGCTGTCCTCTTGGGCCTCTACACGGGCCACTAGTCGCGCCCTATCTATTTCCTCGGTAGAGTCATAATCCCAGCTGCAGAGAGAGGATTTCTGGGAGGCGTGTGAGATGAATACTTTGAACATTCTGAGAACCCACTTAAACCAGCAGGAGTCAGCTACCTGAGTTTGCTCCAAACAAGGTCAGAAAGGAAGCTAGCTACCAAGTGTCAACCGATGATCATCCTTTAAGCTTCTCGGTCTAGTTTTCCCACATGTAATCTGACACTATAGATAAGGAGAAGCGTGTGGCTGTGGAGAGGGCCCTCTGTGGTATTCTGGACAATTGGTTCATCCAGGCACTATAGTCAGACTTCCTCAAGAAAAGATGACATGCTGAAAGCCAGCCTTGGAGCGGGCTGGAGTGTAGATATGGCTTCTGTTTACATTTTACTGCTCTTGACTTTCCCTGGTTTCTTCTCATTTGGGGCAGACGAGGTTGTTTTACCCATAAGGCAACAATGCCAGTGGGAATACACCAGACCAAGACTGGGGTAGGGGCACATCCAAGAGGAAAGCTGCATAAAGGGGACTGGACAGGAAAGCGGGGAGGAGGAGGAGAAAGAGGGAGGGTGGGGGAAATATGGAGGAGAAGTGGGGGCATGTGAGAGAGAGAGCCTTTGGAGAAAGTACCTGGAGAAAAGCTGAGAGAGAGGAGGTGAGGGGGAACCTTGACATTCCTGGCGTGGGGGAGGGGAGGACAGAGTCTGCAATGGAGAAGGAGCAGAACTAGGTGACCCCACTAACACGGGGCTGCCGTGAGCAGGACCAGCGAGCCAGAGGCTTGTAAACAGAGAAGAGGCACCCCAGGGAGCCAAGGCAATGCTCTGAGACAACCCATTAGTTCTCATTAAACCTAACTGTTGTGATTTAACATTTATTGTATGCCCATCGATGTGGTCACTTTCATGCATAAATACCACTGGCTACTGAGACTGGGTGCCATAAAAAAAGAAAGAATGAAAAAAAAGGCAGGTCCAGTGGGAGCTTTTTGCCACACCGTTCTTGAAGGTCCTGAAGTTCAAAATGTTTATCTTTGACTTACCCACGCACACACTTGGCAAACAGTTGTCCACAGGTTCTTCACAGACCTTAATGAAACAGGACAAAACCGTAATTCTGACGATGAACACTGTCCATGCGTCAGGCGTTTGGGGCTGGCAGAGCTGATCGGTAGCACGTTGTTCTAGCATTTCTGTGATATGTGGGCCCACGGGTGCTCCACAAAATCAGCATGCCCAGCTCCAAGCCTTGTTGGCCTGAATACAACAATCCAGGTGGAGAAATGGGGCAAAGTCCCAGGGATGGAAAGGCATTGTTCGATTTGTCAAAATGTGAGTGCTTATGCCTCGTCTTTAGCCCAAAAGCAGTCTCCATGAGTCCAGCGATGGTCTAGCAGCCTATATTCCCCCACCCAAAGCAGAGATAGGGTTGGACCAGCTAACTAAATGTTGAGTCTATACCTCAGTAGCAATGGATCTAGTTAGTTTTTAATGTTTGATGTGGCTGCCAAGCAGGTCATCTGGGTGTAATGGTGACATGTCCATGCCTTCCCTTTGCTTGCTGTTTCTATGGGATGACCTCTCTGAGAAGTCCCTCACCTAGCCTTTTCACTCATGCCCAGCATCAGATTCCCTCCCTCCCAAACCAAAGCCCACCGTTGTGGAGTTTTAAGAGGGTCTGAAAGGAGGAGGGCGCATCGTTTCCCAGTACAAGCTGACTTCGCCGACTGCTTTAACTCCTGTGTTCCGCCACCCTATTTCTGACATTTGCAGTGTGCAAGACACGGCCATGAGGACGAGAGCCACATCCTCTCAGGTAATTTCTGCCATATCCCTATAGGGCAAGTATATCATCCCCACTACAGAGCCAAGGCAACCGAGGCTTGAAGACTAACCACGGAGAGTGGCAGAGCGAGGAGGCAGATTCCAGCGGTCTGTCCTTAAAGCCCAACTCGGCACTTTACGTATGCACCAAAGGACCCATCTCGACCTCAGGGTGCTGACTCCAGACTGCTAGGGGGCAGCCTCGTGCAATCCAGCTACAAATCATGAACGCAGTTTGGGTTACACACACAAAAGAGCCTGCAGGCCCTGCTGTACATAAAGAGGGTTCACATCCTCATTTACCACCTTCTGGCCACATGATATTGGGCAAGGGAGTCTCTGAGAGCCTCCTTTCCTTTCTTCTTTGTTGGGGGGAGGGAGTGGTAAGCAGACAGACTCTCACTCTGTCACCCAGGCTAGAGTACAGTGACATGATCACTGCTCACTGCAGCCTCCAACTCTGGGGCTCAGGCGGTCCTCCCGCCTCAGCATTCCGCATAGCTGGGACTACAAGTGTGTACCACCACACCCACTTGTATTTCATTTGTAGACACGGGGCTCTTGCTGTGTTGCCCAGGATGGTCTCGAACTCCTGACCTCAAGCCATTCTCCTGCCTAGGCCTCCCAAAGTGCTGGGATTATAGGCGTGAGTTGCCGTACCAGCTGGAGCCTCATTTCCTTAAACAGGAATAGTACAGTGTAGTGCTAACTTCACTGGGTCGTTGTGAGGATTACTGAGATCGTGATACAAAGTGACTTAAACAGTGCTGGCACACAGTGGACACCTCACAAATGTCATACTTGGTTGTTCTTAAGAAAACAGGTTTTGAAATTCCAGGTGAGAAGTTCTAAAGCAAGGGTGTGCCCAGGACCATGGCGCTAAAAGGAGACTGACATGGCCTCTCCTCGGAAGTCAGAACACGGTCCAAGTCGAGTCCTGAAGGACAGGCAAGCATCAGACAGACAAAACGGCAGGAGAAATGGTGGCCTGGCAAAGAAAGTGCTCTGGCCACTGGGTAAGATGCAGCCATCAAGCCAAGTTCTCTTTTTTTCTTTTTTGAGTTGGAGTCTCACTCTGTCACCCAGACTGGAGTGCAGTGGCTGCTCCCAGCCACCGCACCCTT